TAGGAATCCCAGTATGAAATGTTCCTAAAACATCAAAGAAACAGTGAATTTTCTATTTTAATATATCTGATTCAGCAAACACCTGGGAGCCAAGTGTCTACCTCAAAGCACACTGCACGTGGTGTTTCTGTCTGAAAAGCACATGTATCTCCCCTGCCTGTCCACAGGAGATTACAGGGAAGGAAGTTCCCAAGGCTTTTAGCCCAGTCAGCAGGGGCAAGCCCTACCTTATTAATGCAGCTATGACACTGCAAATCTGTGCATCTCAGCCCCTGGTGCACTGGCTTGTGCTCTCCCTGGCAGGTTTGTATACAAAATGTGTATTTTTAAAGTACATTCACAAGCGTTAACCTGAAGCAGAATTTTTCTTGCCTGCCAGTGAAGTACATCTGGAAATGATCAATCTCTCTTTCCACCTTGCCCAAATGTCTTCAGGGAGAAATTAATCTTTTAAGACATCTATATTAAAATGAAAAAAATGCATTTGTAAGCTTGCAAAATTCAGTGAAGTTTTCCTGAGAAGAAAGCATAGAAAGGTAAAGGAATCCATTCTTTCTAGGAGTAAAAAAGCACAAATCCCTTTCCTTACTCTGCTGCAAGGTGGACAACAAGGCATCAGCCCCATCAAGAAACAGAGGCTCACTGCTATTGTCCCAGCACTGTAAATTCACATGTGCAATTAGCTCATTGACTGCAGAATTTCCATTGCCTGTGGTGGGATTAATACATAGCTGAATTGCATCCACATGTGTAGATTCTTGCAGGAATGAATGCAGCACCTCTAAGAAAAACGTTACCATTCAGTGAACCCACAAGCAATGATCAGTGCTGCAATTTACTCTCCTCCACCCCCTTTGTAATATAAGAACCAGTGAATCAATTGCTATGAAAGAGACAAGCTAAGGTGAGGAAAGAGCTGACTTTAGAGGGCGGCATTGGCGTGCTACCAAGAGCAGAAGCATTGAAGAGAGCTGTTTTCCCAGCAGGGTGTACTCTGGGGGCAGAGGCGTGTGCTGGAGGGGCTGGGTGCTGAGCGAGCAGGGCCCTCGCACGGGCAGGGTGTGCCTGCCCAGGTATTTCGCTTTGGAGCAGGAGCAGCTTTTGAAGTGACTCTCCCTATCAGCCTGGCAGACTCCACTTCGGTTTCCAGAGTGCACCAGCTGGATTCCTTTCAGATGAAACTCCCATCAGAGGATGCACTCTAGGAGGGCACTGAATGCACTTGGATGGCTGCTGGGTGTTGCTCCTGTGGGAGCAAAGCTGAGCAAGCCCCCAGCACGGACGAGGTCACGTTACAGACACTCCCCTGTTGTGCTGAGCGACTTACTAAGGGAAATAGAACCCCAGATTAAAGAGCATCCTTTAGATACCAGAAATAGAACCAGTCACAGAGCTTCCCCAAACCCTATAGCACTAACCAGGAGAGTCAGTAAACCTTATTCTTATAAAACAGAAGAGCTACTAATTTAGCAAACAAAAGCTGTAAGCAATATAATTGAAAAAACAAACAAATGTTCAAGGTGGAACTGATCACCTGAAATGGATTACTTCTCAAGTGCCAGGGGAGCAAATTTCCCAGCTGCTAGTATTTCTGGTTCTTAATGCTCAAGTGTGTATGCACAATCTGGGATATAAACACAGTTCTGATAGAAAATCTGCAAGAGTTTCATGGGAATTAGTGCTGTTATTAAATGTGATAGTTTTTCAGGTTAACTTCAGCAGAATGCTATTAAAATCTAAGGGATTTTTGCAGCATGAGAAGGAAAAGAAAAAATCAGGGTCTACAATATATTCCCAATATAAACCAGCTGATTAATCTAAGCCCCTTCACATTATTGATTGAGCTCAGAATTTCAGAGCAGTCCATGCAAACAGCTGCATCACCCCCAGCATTACTGCCCTACTGCAGCCAAAGCAGCCATCAGGTGAAGTTTCCTACCATATGGCATATCCAGCCCTGGAAGCATTTGCCCTATAAGCAAATCACATCAGGTATTTTCAGTGAACAAGACCATTATCTTTCAGCTCCATATGTTGTGAAAAACTAAATTGGGTCCTGTAATTAAAACCCCAAACACATATAGTGGGTTTATTCCATCTCTAGAATCCCCACTGCTTCTCTCAAGTATAATGGTATTTTCATTTATTTTGAATAAGCTTGAGAAGAAAAAGTTGGTTTTAAAGGCAAATTTAACTTCTGAGTGAACTGCAGAGCCTTAGTGTTAAATGCTGTCCAGAGATACCCCAGTACAGCAGCAACACAATCCTCAGCAAAAATCTGTTCCAAGGAAACTTGGAGTTGCTAGAGAGAGAGTTCAACTGCATGTTTTTGCTGGTTTCTACTGATTCACTAAAGCAGCAAGCTGCCAGCACAGGCAGAAGGGCTGCTGGGGCCCTTCTGAGCAGTCACTGTCACCGCATCACTGCCTCCCCTTCCAGCACTGCTTCAAAGCCAGGAGGTCTGACAGGAATGGAGTGGGCCTGGCTGGCCTGGGGCAGCCCAGGGGCTGGGTCACCTTGGGAAGGCACATTCCAGCCTTATTTTTGTAACCTACCATGAAAGGAGGTTAGAAGTCCATGCTATTATAAGAAAAATGCAATTTTTCAAAGCCAATTCTTTCTCACTTTCTTATTTTACAGAAAGAAGAGTTTTTCTTGAGTAAATTTAAACCAACGATACCTTTTTAAAGCACAAGATCAAAAACCCCTTTTTAGGCTTTCCTCTTCTAAGTTAGACACTTTGAAACTCCGTAGTTTGTCTGAAATAGACACTTAGCATGACATTTAACCATTCATTATTTTCATATTGATTTTCACTGCTTGGTTGAGACAAACACATCTGACTAAAATTGTGTGCCAAATAACTTTTTTCATCATGATCTATCAATATAAAAATTTTTTTTTTAAGAGCAAAGATTATGGTAATCTCCCCACACAGCCTTCAAAAATCATGTGAAATTTACAGTGCAAAAGCTGCTTAAAATGCCTTTGTCTAGGGCAAGATATCAAGAAAGTAAACAAAATAGGTGTGTACTGTTTTAAGAGACACTTAAGCAAGCATTAGAAAGAAAATTGAAGGGAATTGGGTTCTGTGGAGTGGAGCTGAGCTGCAGATGATTCAACAGGCTCCGTGCCAGCAGTAACAAAAGCGCTCTCTGCTGGAGCAGCACAGCTGGAAAACCTGCTAACAGCCTTTACAGAGACACTTTAAAAAGAATAGGTTTTCAAGGGGGAAGCAGTTTTTCATTGCTATTGCCAAAGAGCATGGTGACACAGCTGCCAGAGATACAGGTTCTTTACAAGGACCCAAGAGCCGTGCAGAAATGTTCCTGGGAGAACAAGCCACTAATGTAAGCAAACCTTAGATCTTGTACAAACCCCACTATCCCTAACTATTATGTTTTGAACTAGTCCTTGCCATTACCAACCTTGTAATTGCATTAAATAATGCAACTCTGAATCATTTCAGACAATGTATAAGCTCTTAGTCTCACAGAATACAATTTTATCAATCCTAAGGAAGGGATTACCACAGAAAGTGATACATTTCTAGATCAGAAGCCTAACAGAGAAACTTTCTTGTGTGTGTAAAAAAACCCATTCTTTAGGTCTTCATTAAGTAGTAGTGATCCTTTCTGCAACAGAAGTGAAATTAGTCTCTCACATTACCTGGCCTGGTTCCTCAGAACATCCCTCACCAGTGTCAGAGAAGCTATTTGTTAAACAAAACTGGACCATGTTCTGTTTCCAACAGAAAGACTCCCCAGGCACTTTTGCTGTGGCTGGCAAGGTTGTTTGTTTGGTGGTTTGGTTTGAGGAGAGTGTGTTAATCCTCCCCTGAGAAGTGCTGTGGTTTAGGTTTAAGTCCCCATTACAATTTCCTGGGGTTATCCTGTATTAATCCTGTATTTGTTTATGTATCAGTACATCTGCAGCAAGAAACACGGGGTGGGAGAAGTTATGGGAAGGGATGGAAAATCAGGGTTTGCTCCTTAGAAGTTGACTTTGTTAGAAGACAAGAAAATACAGAGTTCTTGTGCTGCTGCTCACAGCTACAGCAAAGCAAATACATCTTTGTCTTCTGAAGCTACCAAGACTACAGCATTCTAAAGATGAAGACCACTTCATCTCCTAAATGAAGAGCCCTGATAAAATTATTTGATAAGGACTAAAAATGCTTATCTCCATTCATTGAATTCATTGCATTCTTACATCAATTGAGCTCCACAGGCACAGGCTTCCCTGAAAATTCCTGCTTTTTTCAGAAGTGCCCTGAAGAAAACAGTTCAAAGGACCCAGCAGCACAAACTCATTCCAATCTCTGCTGTGATTCTGCCTTCCAGCCCCAAACAATCTTTGCACATTTCTAACAGTGACAGAAAATTCTGTGGACTCCTCTGGAGATGATGTTCCTTTGGTCTGATACTCTCAGCATAAAGAACTTCAAGAAAACTGGATACTACATATATCATATGGTCTGAAAACAAAAGGAGCAATTGGCAGGATAACTTCCTGAGCTGCCCTGTGGAATAGCAAAAAATAAATGGACAAAAGCCTCCTTGGTCACAGCAGTCATGGGAATGCATCCTATCTCCAGAGCTGGTGACATTAACCTTCAGCTGTAACACTCTTCAAGGAGCACTGCACAAGCAAACACAACTACTGTAAAACCCAAAAATGCAGCTGGAGTACTTTGAGAAACTCTACAGAGAGCTGGCACTCCACAAGCTTTGCCATGACAGTATCCCTCACCCTGCAGCTTGCTAGGACAGTGGCTGGTGTCTGGGTTTGCAATAGGAAAGGTGGAGCCCTCAGCTGTGTCAAATATCACAATTTGGCCCCACAGCCTGTGAAAGTGGCAAGGAGCAGTTGCAGTCTGCAGGTAGACAAGGATCCAGAGAAAGCATTATCACACTGCCAAGGCTAGAATTGCATAACTCGTAACTTCTTAACAACTTCATATATTCACTGAAAATGAATACACCACAATTTCTATATACTGAGGTTAAAAAAAAATCTCTTAAAATCACTTAAAAATATTAACATCGTATTAGCACATATGTACACAGAATCTGCTCTGCTAAAGTAAAGCTAGTCCAAGACAGAAGAAAAAATTTTTACATTAACAATTTAATTACATTAATCTCTATTAGCAGGCACTAATCTCACTGCAGATTTTCTAAGGCACAGAATCTTTATCTGAAAATATACAGCAACCTTTTCTCCAATCCAGTACAAGCTGGTACCTTGTCATATACAGACCCAAAACCCATTCAGCAGCATACCACAAATGCAACATACACTGGCTAGCACTTTGAGAAGAATACCAACTGTTTGTACTGAAATAAATACAATTTGGCAGCAAAGACTCTATCACAGCTTTGTCATAATTTTTGTCCACATAAATATCCTGATTCTATTTTCTGTTTCAGGAAGAACACATTACATGCTTCAATTCTCCCTCCATCAGTTAGTCTCATGTTTCACTGATGAACATACCACAACATTAAAATAACTATAAAATATTAAACTCAGTTTTAGGTCCATTTTTTTCAGTTTGTAGTTTTGTATTTATTTGAACAAAAAAGCCCTGAGGAATCTGTTAAGTCACATATCAGTGAATGGCATATAATACACAATTCATTGCTCCTATTCACCAAGCATGCAATGCAATATTTATACCACAGATGTTTTCAAATGTAGTTTTATTCCAGTGACTATTTGCAGTCTATACATATATTTAAAAACAACATTATGTGAACATATCACAGACCAGTACCTAAAAAATCTTTAGTATATACTCCTTTATAAAAGGTTTTGACACAATGGAAAAGTCAGTCCAGAAGAATGCACGTTACCAGGTTTCTTGATAAACAAAAATGTGAAGCCCTGTAACCTGCACGAGCACAAGTATCCATGGCAATGAATCTTTCATCTAAATCCTTGTTTCAAATAAACAGGTTTAAATTTTGTTCAGTAAACAAGTTCTACCACAACACTGTCCATTTAATTTTGTGCTTTCCAAAAGGCAAGCACACTACAGAAATAAAATTCCCTACCCGAGAGACAAATGCAGTAAACACGTATTTGTTTCCCATTCCAGCAGAGGAATCCAAGTTCCTTGAAGTTCTCATTATGTCTAAATCCAAAACACCCTGCTTATACCTTCTTCTTCTTCTTCTTCGCCTGTTCTCCAGACTCTACTTTACGTTTCTTAGCAGAAGCTGGTTCCTCGTCTTTTTCACCATCTTTAAATAAAAGAAAGAGTTAATCAAGATCAGCAAAGCCAGTTTTTTGTCTTAAACACCACCCTGTCTTAGAACAACTGACTTAACCACATCTGAGACGCTGGAAAAAAGACACTGTAGCATTAACTGACAACATCCTCATTTTTCGAATGCAGATCATATGTGTACAGGAATGGTTACTTCTTATCATTGCCACAAACCACTGCAGGTAACTGAAAAGAGGCTTTATGCTACTGTACAGTACCTGTTCTAAAAAAATTATTATTTGATTAGCTAACAGAAAAAGCTAGAAAATGACATTTTTGAAGCAGGAAATAATGTCAAGATCAATTAACATTTTACCTTCGTCCTTTGGATGAAGGCTGACTAAGAGAAATGCATAGACAGGGAAAACATAGAACACACGGAGAAAGACATAAAAACTGCTACTGAGAAAGAACACCCAGAACCAAAAAACAGGCAAGACAGCAAAAAAAATCCTTCTTTTGGAAAAGCTTTGTTCACAACTTTACCAATGAATGAAAGTATTGTTTTCTGAAAGCTCAGAATTTCTTCTTCTGGTTCTGTTCTCTTGGTTATTGCTATTCTCTTTCTCCAGCAATTAAAAACAAAAAAATCCACCCACTCATCAAACATCTCTTTACTACCTAAATTACCAATACAGCTTGTACCATCATAGAAAATGAAGAGGATAATAAATATTTTCTTCAGTAATCTGTCCCATGGACATCCTATTTGATTCCTCTTTTGGACCCCAAGTTTTGCAAACATTATAAAAATAATCTGACCTACATCTACAACTAAGGTCAACACCTTAGTGTAAAGCACCTGAAGCTTTTACACCACCTTCTGCTTTAGCAGCACCACGAGTGAACCTGTTGGTTTCACAGAACTACAGTGCCACAGACTCTCATGCTTCCCTGCTACTGACAGAGGGGGAGAGGAGCAGAGGGGCAGCTCGAGGGTTTGTGCTGGATGCAGCAAAGCCAAAGCACCGGCCCTGCAGTGCCCCCAGCCCTGCGGCCAGGCTCTCT